ATTGTAAGGCAATAATAGGTATATTGACTCTAATCTTTCCTTACCTAATTGTTAATTGCATATACAATACCTAAATAATTTCATAACTATTGAACGACTTATTAAAAGCTAGATAGATTTAATCCAACAATAGCATTAAGATAAGAAAGATAGGTGAAGCTAAGCCATTTTCCTAAATGCTAGAGAAGATGTAATCCAATTCTATGTTTTCCAAAGAATTTAATGAAAACATCACTAATCATCAACCCTTAGCTACTACTACAAGCAAGCTTAGATGAACAATTACATGAACTTGAATACTCCTCTAAAATTAAGCAATATGAATAGAAAAAATAGCATCCACTCTAACTAAATTAATCATATAACTATGAACCAATCGTGTAGAAAAATATAAAATACCCAATAGAGATAAATTTAGAATTAAAAACTAATAATCTCACACCGATTAACCAAAAGCTCTAATTCGATTCAACTAAGAAGGGAGTTTAGTTATTCAAGACACAAAGAGAGAATTCTATTAATAGTGGCTATCGAAAGCTAGTTGGAGAGAGATTAAATAATAATCTAACTTTGCTATTTATACCCACAAATAGGGTTACATCGGCTTTTGTGATGGTATGACATTGTCTCATGGCTTGATATATAAAGTTAAATGGTTTACTACTTGATATCACACGGCTTGGAAGCTTAGAGATTAGGTTACACACAATCGTATGGACTAGTTAACAAACCATGTAGCCATGCTTCTGCCCATGTAGATCCTCTCTTCATTGGTCATAGAAAACCGTGTAAAAAGCTTCCTAGCCATGTGGATCATTTTCTTCAATGTCACACTACTGTGTAGAATTGCTCATAATCCATGTGGAAATGGTTCTACCCATATAGCTTGCCAAGCTTGAGATTCCACATGGTTTCCTCTTTAAGTTACATGACCATGTGACTTTTTTAAGCCTCTTTTTGTGAATTCTCTTAATCTTGCTTTGGTTTTTGGTTTCCTTGCTTCAATTCATCATTTTTCCTACCAAACTTGAAACCGTCATCTTATTCTTAAACAACATAATATTATAAAATAATTACTAGAAAGTTCAATGTATTATAGCATAAAAATCATACTAATTATGCACTTATCAAATACCTTCACACTTAAATTTAATAGTCCTCAAGCAAAACAAATAAAATAAAACCTAACTCACTTTTGTAGGAATCACAGTTGCATTTAGTATATAAAACAAGTCTTTACACCCTTAGGTTACCCCTATTGGACAAGTTATGTCACGTGAGGGTTGCAGATGATAAAGCCATAAAATCATTCAATCAAATATAATGTTAATATGATTTCTTCAAACGTTGATACTTAATTCAGAATTCCATAAAATTTAATAGTCAATTCAATCATGTTCAAGATATTATTATCATATTAATGCATATCTCTAAATTGATTTATGCATTTTCATAACTAAAGATAATTCAAGCATGCAACATTAACTCTACTTTCACCTCTTTTCTACTACTACAAGCAAGGCAATAAACAGAGATTTTCCTTAATCAAAAGCTTTTTTTTTTTATTTTAAACATCCAAAATTCTTTTTCATTTTAAGGCCTTAATAGCATTTCCCTAAGCGGTCACTTACCTTTTTACGCAACTCGCCAATAGTTATGATGATGGTAAACGGTTACGTGAGTGCCTTGCATACTCATAATTTGAATCATCATTTAACATAAAAGTAAACATTTATTATTAATACTCCTAGTTACTAAGCAACTCAAACTATTTGAGTAGAATTCTTACAAACTTAGGCCACATTTTTATAGAGAATGCTTTTCGATTTCTTTCTCAAATAACACTTAGAAAATCTTATTTATTTAAACCGTGCTTAAGTCTCGTTTCCAAAGGGTTTGGTTTTCTTTCAAAATCAGTTCACTATCTAAATTTTTTTTCCATTATGAAGACACATAAAGCTCTTTAGCATGCATGCACTTCTATAACAATAATATCCCAAATGTTTTTATTCATCTCATCAAATTTTATCTAATTCCACCATTAAAAAAAATTAAGAAGAACATCATGCTTAACATGGCATTTGTTTAATATTATTATGTAGGGGTACAAAATAAACACATAAATTACACAAAACAAAAACAAAAACAATAAAATCTAAGTGCTAAATGCATCCGCACACTTGAATCGTACATTGTCCTTAATGTACATATAAATAAACATAGCATAAATGGAAATAAAATATGTAAAAGTAGGGATAAAAAAGCAAACTAGATGGCCTCATTTAGTATGGAGGTTATGATTGATAAGTATAATTTATATGCATATTTATATAAAATGGGAGGTCGAATTTGTTAATTATGTGTGTAATTTATGTTACATTTGATATAAATTAATTCCCATATGCTTTGAATTTGTAGTTACAAAGAATCATGAGAAGACTAAAGAAGTACGACAAAACAAAGACTAAAATGAAAATAAAAATCAAAAGTAAGGATTATAGAGCAATAAGAGTAAAGGTGTTTGACTTGGACACTTTAAAAAAAGAAGCAATTCATCACATTCTGGAGGAGACTTACTTGAGTGGCTAGTAAAAAGAGTCTATGGGGTATAAAAGGAAAGAGTTATAGGCAAAAGAAAAGGAGGAGTGAGAGACAATAGACATGGAGCAAAATAAAGAAATAGAAAGTTTGTACCTGGAAACTTAATAAAACAAAACAAATAGAGGGTTTGGTATAGTAGAGGAAAAAAGAACAACGAGGCTTTGAATAGCTACCAAGAAATTAAAGAGAGAAGAAAAACATACAAGCGAGATAGATTCCATAGACAAGTAATTGAGTTTCCTTTAATTATTACTTTGATGGATTGTCGATGTAATATTTTATTTTTAGATCTTGTAAATTCCTTTATGCTAAGATAAACTCTTAAGTTTGGGTTGGATTATTTTAATTCTCATTCTATGTGATTAATTATTTTTCTTAACTCAAAACTTGATTCTTGATGTATGATGAATTTATATTATTACGTTTAATGCTTTAGGAGAATGTTCACCTCATATTGATTTAATGACATATGCTTGAACTCGAGAGGGAATTGTATGTGTTAGATCATAGCAATATAAACCACCGAGTTTACTATTAATTGAAAGACAACTAGTTCTAGTGCAATAATGAAAGAGAGAAGTGTGTGATGTCATGCTTGTTTGACATTGGAGGATTCCATTGATTCTAATGCATTTAGATCTTAAGTTAAGTTACACGTAAATATGAATGATTTGTTAGGTAAAGCATAAGGTTAATCTAACTAGAGATAGCTTCTTAACATGTTTCGAGAATTTAGTCATCACATATAATAAGATCGACCTTAAGGTGGTTTGTGAGTTAAGTTAATATCTTGAATTGTATAAGTTAGAATTAGATGAATCTATACCTAGGTGCTTTCATATCATCTTATTAGTAATTTTTAATTCTTTAAATTTAGAATATATTTTTAATTTAATTTTCAATATTTTAATTATTTCGATTAATTCAACTTATTTTAAGTTAGATAATTTAATATTGCATGATTAGATTGGATTTATTGCTTATCCGATTATGTTAAACAAAATTGTAACATGTTTTAGAGCTGTCATCGGGAATTATAATTGCATATTGATATTTATAATTGAATTAAGATTGAAGTGTAATTTAGCTTTATTTATTTTTATTATTATTTTTCCTATGATTTTTATTTTTATTTTTATTTTTTATTCATCCTTTTCTTTTGCATTCTTCAATTCTTCCGAGTTGTAGCTTTGTTAGTGCATGATCCGTACTAGTAGTGGAAATCTCGTAGCTTTTGATCCCGAGATTGAAAGAATATTTAGAGAATGTTTAAGAGAGTAGAAATGGAGCACTATGGTAGATGATGAAAAATGAGGAGCAGGTAGACATGAAAGCTCTAATTGAGTATGCCACACCATCCTTAGAGGGTACAAACTTAAGTATTAGAAAGTGAGCTATTAGTGCTAACAATTTTGAGATAAAATCGGTCATTATTTAGATGATCCAAACTAGTGCACAATTTGGTGGATTACGTAACAACGACCATAAGTTGCATATTGCTAATTTTATTGAGATTTATGACACTTTTAGATTTAATGGTGTCGATCCTAATGCTATTAGACTTAGATTATTTTCATTTTCTTTTAGGGATAAAGCAAAAGGTTAGTTATTATCTCTTCATGCTAGATCAATCAGTACGTGGAATGATATGGCTTAGAAATTTTTATCTAAATTCTTTCCACTATCAAAAACTACTAGATTTAGGGATGACATAGCTATTTTTGCTCAATTTGATGTTGATTCTTTATATCAAGCCTTGAAGAGGTTTAAATACCTTCTTAGGAAGTTTCCTCGACATGAGTTAACCATATGGCTATAAGTGCAAAATTTTTATAATGGTATTAACTCTTTTAACCGTCCTATGATTAATACAAATGTAAGTGGTATCATTATAAGGAAGACTCTGGATGATGCTTATGATGTATTGGAAGGGATGGCTTCTAACTCGCTATCAATGGGGTAATGAGAGAAATATATAAAAAAAAGAGTGGTATTTATTCAATAAATTCTTTTACTTCTCTAAATGCTCAAATTGTTGCTCTTAGTGAAAGAATGGATTTAATCAAAGTTGTTACGAATTCTAATCATTGTGATATATGTGGACAATTAAGCCATGATAGTGTAACTTGTCAAGTGAGTAATCCATTTGTGTTTGAACAAGCTAACTTTGTTTCAAATGCTAATAGAATAGGTTCTAACCCATACTCCAACTCTTAAAACCTAGATGGAGGAGCAATGATCAATCAAAGAGGCCTCTCGGCTTTAGAGCATCACCACCACCTCAACGAGAGAAAAAGCCTAATTTAGAGGATTTAATGTCCAAATTCGTCTAGAATAATGATGCTATGTTTCAAAGCCAAGAGGTATAGATTAGGCGGATTAGGGAGTTAGCTACCGTGATGGTTGACGAGACAACAAGGAGGCCTACTAAGCAACAAGCAGAGCAAGTGAAGGCCATCCCCTTAAAGGGTGGAAAACTAGTGAGGTATTTTAGTAAGGGTGAAGAAGAGGAAAGAGCAGTCCTTAATGCTTATCTTAATGATAAACATAACATTATGGAGGATAAAGAACCAAAGAAAAAACTTTTTGCAAACTTGAATGTCAAACCATACGGACATCTTGTTCCTTTTTTATAAGAGACTTATACCAACTAATCTTGATACGAAATTTTTTAAACTATTAAAGGTTTGTAAAAAGTTGCATATTAACATACCTTTTTTAGATGCTATTTTGTAAATCCCCAATTATGCTAAATTTTTGAAAGATCCGATAGTTAAAAGAGAAACTGGAAGAATTTGAGATTGTGAAGCTGAACGAAGAATGTTTGTGAATTATTCTTAATAAGTTATCACTAAAGATGAAAGATCCAGGGACTTTCTCCATACCTTGTACTATTGGTAGTATTACTTTTGAAAGGGTATTATGTGATATAGGAGTTAGCATTAATTTAATACCTTTTTTTTGTTTTTACAAAGCTTGGAATGAAATATCCATTACCCACTACTATTTCTCTATAATTAGTTGATAGAAGTATTAGATATCTTAGGGGAATAGTAGAGGATGTTTTGGTTAAAGTTGATAGTTTATTGTCCTAGTTGATTTTATTGTACTTGACATAGAAAAGGATGTTAATATGCCTTTAATTTTGGATAGGCCATTTTTAGCAACCGGGGAGCTTTAATTGATGTTAAAAGTGGATAACTAGCTTTAGAATTCATGATGAAGATGTGATTTTTAATGTTTCTAAGGCTATGAAAAATTATAATAGGGATGAAAAAGCTTTTAGAATTGATGTGGTAGATCGGTTAGTCAATGAGGATTTGTAGTTGTATAAAGTTGACAATGCTATTGATTTTTATGTTATGCATGCTTTAGATATGAAGGATGAAATCCTAGAAGAAGAAGCAAGGGAGGCCATGAACTTTATAGGAGAGAAACCAAGGCAAGCCAATACTAAAGTAGAAAGAATTTTAGCATTGGATGTGGTTAATACATTATAAGTTCGAATCATCAAAAAATGAATCTCCGACTTTAGAATTGAAAATGCTTCCTTCTCATTTAATGTATATTTACTTGGGAGACTCACATATTTTACCCGTTATAGTATCTTCTTTTTTACGAGGACTTGAGGAAGAAAAACTCACAAGGGTGCTGAAAGATGCATGATGCCTGTTTTTATTGATTTCATTGATAATTTTATAGAGGTTTTAATGGATGATTTCGTGTTTTTGGTGATTGCTTTGATGCATGTTTGCATAATTTAATTTTGATGCTTAAGAAATATGAGGAAACAAATCTTGTGCTTAATTAGGAAAAGTGTCATTTCATGGTTAGAGAAAGCATAGTGCTAGGTCACAAGGAGTCCACTAAGGGTATTGAAATAGATCAAGAAAAATTGAATTGATTGAAAAATGCCCACCTCTTAATTCTATAAAAGATGTTAGAGGATTTTTAGGACATGTCGGCTCTTATAGACAATTCATTAAGGATTTTTCTGAAATTGTCAAATCTTTAACGCACTTGTTTGAGAAAGATGCACCTTTTGTTATTGATGATGATTGCATGTATTGCTTTAATTGCTTAAAAGACAAATTGACTCGTGCTCCCATTATTGCTACTCCTTGTTGGGACTTGTCTTTTGAAATTATATGTGATATGAGTGAAGATACTTTGGGTGCTGTTTTAGGATAAAAAAATATCACACAATTTACTATGTAAAAGGACAATGAATGAAGCATAAAGACGGTGTACCACACTTGAAAAAGAACTACTAGCTATTATATTTGCTTTTGAAAAGTTTAGATCTAATCTACTTTTATCTAAGGTTATTGTATTCATTGATCATTCAGCACTTAAATATTTACTTGCTAAGAAAGAGTATAAACCTAAGTTGCTTAGATGGATTCTATTGCTTCAAGAATTTAATCTAGAGATTAGGGATAAAAAGAGCATTGAAAATTCGATAGATAATCATTTATCTAGATTAGATGGGGAATGTGTTGAATCAATGATTCATAAACCTTTCCATGATGAATTCCCGGATGAAAGGTTATACTTCATTAAGGCATCGTCTTTGCCTTGATGTGCTGATTTTGTGAACTATCTTGTATGTGATATTTTGCCTTCTAATCTTTCTTTTTATCGAAAAAGAATTTTTTATCCGATGTAAGACACTATTTATGGGATGAACCTAGTCTTTATGAGGAATGCAATGATGGTATGATACGATGATGGTATGATGCGATGATGTGTACCAAGAGGAGGAATGACAAGTATTCTTAATTTTTACCATGATAAGGAAGCATGTGGACATCATAGAGCAACAAGGATGCCTCAAAAAAGGTGCTTTAATATGGATTTTATTGGACTAAACTGTTCAAAGGTTTCCATAGCTATGTAAGTGCATGTGACAAATGTCAACGATCGGGTAATATTTCTAGATATAATGAAATACCTCTAAATAATATTCTAGTTTGTGATATCTTTGATGTTTGTGGTATCGATTTTATGGGTCTTTTTTCCAAGTTCTTTCAATAATTTATACATACTTGTCACTATGGATTATGTCGATAAATTGATATACGCTATTGCTAGTCCAACTAATGATGCTAAAGTCATAGTCAAATTCATAAAGAAACACATTTTCACTAGATTTGGCACACCTAGGGTTGTAATTAGTGATGAAGGCACACACTTTAAGAATAAATAATTTGATGGTTTGTTGTTTAAGTATGGTGTCACTCACAAGATTGTCATTCCTTATCACCCACAAACTAGTGGACAAGTAGAGGTTTCTAATAGGGAATTGAAGAGAATTTTAGAAAAAACTATCCATATGTGTAGGAAGGATTGGTCATTTAAATTAGATTATACACTTTCACTACCAGAAAAATATGAATTAGCGATGAAAATTAGCGACGGATTGTATTCCGTTGTTATTTAATGTTGGATTAGCAATGGATTATAAAATGATGTTTTTTTACGATGGCTTATTGATGGACTAATGAGGGACACTTAGCGACGGTTAAACATCCATCGCTAAATAAGGTGGGAAAGAAAGCACTAAAATTAGCGACAAAAATTTGATTACTAAATAAAAAATTAGCAATCTAATTTAGTCTCGTCACTAAAATCCTCGTTATTTAGTAAAGTTAGCGATGGATATTATGTCCGTCGCTAATTTTGTGACTTTTGAGGTGAATTTCCTCTAATTTGGCATAAAAGTAGCGATGGTTACCGCTCGTCGCTAATCAATGAAAGACTTGCCAATCCATCGCTATTTTGGGGGAAATTTCCCCCAAAATAGTGACGAAATAGCAACGGATTTGGGTCCGTCGCCATTTGGCCTAGATATACCACCCTCTTTCTTCTTCTCCATTTGTTCACCTCATCTCCACCACACCTCCCTTCCGGGCAAACCAAAAAAATGCCCACCTACGCCACCCTATGCCACTAAATCTTTTTTAAAAGCATTCAACAAAGTAAGAGGTATCTTTCTCCCTTAAAATCGGATCGGATCCGTGTTCTATATTCTTGATCTATCGGATAAAACTTTCTCTCTCTAACTTTTATATATTTTTTTAGTTAGATAAATGTTATATATATTTAGTTAAATTTTGTTATTTATTAGTTTATTAATTATTTGAATGTTGTTAATTATCTTGTTATGCTAATTTGTATACGGTAGTTTAAATTTGTTAGTTGTTATTTTATTTTTATAATCGTTAGATTAATTTTGTTAAGTTTTATTTTGTTGTTATTTTAATTCTTAGGTTAATTTGTATGTTAACGTAAAGCTTAAAATTTTAAATTTTGTTAATTTGGAGTTGTTAGATTAATATTTAATTATTTAATCTTAAATTGTTAGTATAATTAATTTAATTAGTTATATATTTAATTGTTTGTAGTGTTATAGGTTAATTTGGTTAGTTGTTTGTTTAAACTTAATTTTCAAATTATATTATTTTTTACATAGTTTAGTTAAATTTTGTTGAAATTATATAATTTTTGACATAGTTTAATCATTTGGAATATAAATTTTATAAGTAATTTTATTTGTTTAATTATTAAAATTCAAATAAGATAACATGCATAATGATTTGATCGTTTCGAAAAACAATTGAATAAAAATGTAATTAAAAAACTAAGATAAAATTTAAAATTTTATAAATATTTTATTAATTAATAGAATTAAATAAATATTTTAATTGAATATTTTCTAAAATTATTTAGATGATAATGTAATTTAGCATTTTTAGGTTTAAGAAGTATAAAATTTCATGTATTTTAAGTGAAAATGATAATGTAATTACCTTAAATTACTTTAAAAATGTTAAAATTTTATAAATATTTTATTAATTAACAGAATTAAATAAATATTTTAGTTGAATATTTTCTAAAATTAATTAGATGATAATGTAATTTAACATTTTAAGGTTTAAAAAGTATAAAATTTCATGTATTTTAAGTGAAAATGATAATGTAATTACCTTAAATTTCTTTAAAAATGTTAAAATTTTATAAATATTTTATTAATTAATAGAATTAAATAAATATTTGGCTGAATGTTTTCATAAATTATTTAGATGATAATGTAATTTAATGTTTTTTTGTTCAAAAAGTATAAAATTTCATGTATTTTAAATGAAAATTATCATACCCTAATTTTTATCCATTTTTCATTTCTTTAGTTTATTTTACTATTGTTTGGTTTAATTTTGTTTTTAGTTCATGCTTAATAAAAGTAAAATTTTAATTACGTAAAATAGACAAAAGAGAAAGAAAAGAATTTTTAGTATTTTTTGCAATCCTTACATAAAATGAGAGAAAAAAAAAGGTCGGAGATAGAGGGACAATTCCCCTCCATCTCATAGACAAAATTCTCAACAATTCACCCTACTTCGCCTAGAACGAATTTTTGTTTCCAATTACTCGTAATTCTCTTCCGTTGGGAACCAATTTGGTTCCTAGTTTCAGCTCCTAATTTTCAGCAGCAATGATCATCCCTTAACTTATAACTACCCACCTCCTCTTCATAGTGAACAATCTCAACACCCCCTCTCGCTACTGACCACCCTACGACCCACAACCTCACCTTTTGCCAAGCCATTCCGTCAACCCT